CGTCCCAATCATGATTTGGTGTCAGATCTGATCTTTACTGTTCAGAACGCAAAGAAAACCATGTACTAACCGTTACGCCAGCATATGTTATTATGCAGCAGATACCCTTCAAGCTGCAACCCAGTATTGGGAAACAACCATACACTCTCATTCACACACTCATTAAATACGGCCAATTTAGTTTATAATTTACCCTATAGCGCATGCCTTTGGACTGAGGGGGTAACCGGAGCATGTGGAGGAAACTCACGCCAATACGGGTAGAACATGCAAACTCCACACAGAAATGCCAACTGGCCCAGCTGGGTCTTGAAGCAGCAACCTTTTTGTTGTGAGGTGACAGTGCTAACCACTGAGCCTTCGTGTGCACTTTAAAGTTACTTTATTATTTTCTTATTTGCTCTATTATTAATGTTTTACAGATTGTTATTAGGCGAGGCAGTGGCGCAGTAGGTAGTGCTGTCACCTCACAGCAAGAAGGTCGCTGGGTCGCTGGTTCGAACTCGGCTCAGTTGGCGTTTCTGTGTGGAGTTTGCATGTTCTCCCTGCCTTCGTGTGGGTTTCCCTCCGGGTGCTCCGGTTTCCCCCACAGTCCAAAGACATGCAGTTTCAGGTGAACTGGGTAGGCTAAATTGTCCGTAGTGTATGAGTGTGTGTGTGAATGTGTGTGTGGATATTTCCCAGAGATGGGTTGCAGCTGGAAGGGCATCCGCGGCGTAAAAACTTGCTGGATAAGTTCATTCCGCTGTGGCGACCCCAGATTAATAAAGGGACTAAGCCGACAAGAAAATGAATGAATGAATGAGATTATTATTAATATAGTTTATAAATAGGTTTTACAGAACCCAATGTCCGGGTCTAGGAGTAATAAATATATATATATAATAAAGACTTTTGTCTGTGTTAGATTTTTTACAGCAAATCAATAGTGCTAATATTGACACAAATTTTAAGAAAAAAAAAACAGTCATTTTAGGCCACAAAATTCAGAAAAAACGTCCTGCAAGATCTTGGAGGGACTGTAAAACAAGTCAATAGAGTTAGACCCAATCCCAATTCTACCCCTTATGCCGAGTTCAGACTGCACGATTTTCAAAGTATTCATGTCGCAGATGTTTTCACACTGCTTGACTATCTGGGGTAGCGTTTCGTTGCTGCTGTGTTTACACTGTGGATCGGCGACAGATTGTTTCACACTGCATAACTTTACAATAAGAACCGCCGACATCTTGGTCTCAGTCCGCAAACTACATCTCAGAATCAAACACACGTGAGAAATGACATGGAAACAATGTATATTGACTACATAATGAGAAAGAAGCCTTTAGTGGGGTAGAAAATGTACTTATTTTCCTCACCGGGCTTTAAAGGGAATTATCAATTTCTCCTTATCTTTTTTCTTTTTCGATCTGGTTGTGGTATTGCTTAGATGAGACGTCAAACAGACATGGGTGCTCCTGACAAATTTCCAATAATTTTTCTCTATTTCATGGGTCCAAATAGACAGAATAGAAGCCCTTTTAACTTCTCCCCCAACCTCCCGCAGGCCTGCAGATACCCATAGTGGATCCTGCTTTCTAATTGGCTTTATGCCGATGTTATTTTCAACCAGAACACATTTTACATGGCATGATTTTGAATCACCGACGGCTACAAATAATTAGTACACCAAATATATCACGGGTGTCGGCGACTCATCTCTCAGATTGCGTCTTTGATTGTTTACATACAGTAGTGTGATTGTTACTCACGTAAACGAGCACTGATTTGCCTGTGATTTCAGGCATTTGTCTGCGATTTCTCAAAACCTGTCAGCGAGTCAAAATTAAGGCTAAAATAATGGAGTCTGAACTCGACACTAGCCCTTCCTCTTAGGGTGTCCCAATTCTCTAGACCTTAAAGGCACAGGGCTAAATGGAAAGGCTAGATAGCTCTTCAAATGGAGATTTTTCAGGACCACACTCAAAAACGAGGGGTAAGAAAATTCCCTAAAATACACCAACTAAAATGGCAGCATGGCTGCACACGAAAATCAGGAGATGCACAAATTACATTTTAATTTAAAGCTTAATTTTGCTATCTATAATCCATAATACTCCTGTATAGTAGTCCCACAACATTCTGTCACTCGATAACACTCGAATACCCTGTCAGAAAAGTCTAGTGGCTGGGAATTTGTTTTTTACAGTGTCTGGTATAACGTTAATGTTAATATTGTTTATGTGTGTTTACATAGATCAATATGGCCACTGTGTAAATGCACAGTACAGTTACAAAATTATTGCCACATTATATCGCCATGATAGCGCAATATTGTGGCCTTCAGTGATTTCCTGATGAAAGAATACCAACAAATAACGCAACTGGAATAATTACAGCAGTCGCCATAGTCAATCTCATATGTAGTAATTTCTTTCTATTTCTTTGGAGTAAATTTTGTAGCCCTTACCCTTCACATTCTGTTTCAAGGGCCAAGGGAATGAGGTAGGGGTATTGAAATAGAATTGGAATTGGGTCTCATAATTGGGTTTCATTATCTTCACTGCAAATGTACTTTTCCATATTTTGTGATTGACAAGGTGTTTTCTGTTTATTTATGCTTATGAATTGCATAATGGGACATTGATCTCTGTCGACTTTTGGTGTTGAAAATTAAACTCTGCATTTTAAAAAATGACTTTTATTGATATTTTGTAGTTTGAAATTAAATATTTTATAACAAAAAACATAAATAAAAATTGCGTAAAATAAGAGAAAATATACTGGCAGTTTATTACCAGGTTTTGTACTATATTTTACAACACTGATTCTGACAATATATCTTTCAAAACTATTGAAAATGTCAATAAGTTACTTTTTGAAACTTTTCAACATTAAAAGTTGTTCGAGGAAAGATAAATGACTCATAATGCAATTAAAAAAAACATGAATACAGAAAACTGCTTATTTACAGACTTTTTTTTACATTGTTGCCTGAAAACTACTGAAAAATGAATACAAATATTTATCTAGCACTAATCAAAAACTTTATTTTAGTGTAAAGACCTTAAAAACCTCAGCAGATGAGATCCTTAGATGATCTTTAAACGACTCCCGCCAATAAATCCATCAAAAATGTAGTCCATCATTAAAAGTCCTGGACTCATTTGTGTCCGTACTGTAATTACTATGTGAGGTCAGTGTGTTGGGCTGCTTTTGTCTTTGATCATGGCTGACTGAATGGGAAACTGCTTAAAATGTGTGCCTTGTTAAAAGCCATGGCCCTGGAAATGAGTCTTTGTGCAGGGGAAAAAAAGTTCCTCTGCGGCTCCCATTACGGCTGATGGAAGATAGTAGACAATACAGTCGGCTGGCCAAAATGGCAATCAGAGGATAAAGAGAAGAGAATCTGCTGTCACCTATAGAGCATGAACTCTCGGACGCTTAAAGTGTCAAATTAAGAAGATGAGAATGTGAACCCATTTGGTGCGTAATAGTGTTCCTCTACCAGCAATGCTTGTGCTACAATACAAAGAAAAGGAGCAATAATCTACATCATCTGACCTAATTATCTTCACTGATAAGCAGATATGTACACACTTTCACAAAATATTGCAGACGTTTTGCAGTTTGTCCAATGAAAAAGATTGAAAACATGTTTGGAGCAATTTGTTGCTTTTTTCAGACCAGCGCAACTCTTATTTTCATGTTTTACACCACATTGTTTAAATGGCAAATTCATTTGCGCTACTTTGTGAAATCCTGGGTGTGCCAGTCTATAATAGAGGTGTGTAAAGGTGCATTGTTGGTGTGTTGCTATTTTGAGGAACTGAAATAGACTGCGCAATTGACCAACTAAAAGCTGGTCTAAAATCCAGCGCAGAGCCTATGCAAGTCCAAACGTTTATGCATAAAGCATTTGTTTTGGATAGTATGCACAATATTTTTCTTCGTTTACTAAAGTACAAAGTATGAAGTAAATAAATAGGTTTAAAGGAACAACCCAAAATGAACATTTACTCACTATTTACTCACCCTCAATTGTTTCCAAAACTCAGTTTCCTTTTTCTGTTGAACACAAAAAAGGTATTTTGAAAATAATTAGAAACCGTTATAATACATAATTGATTTACAAAACATAATTCATACATTCACAAACCAATTCACTTCTACAAAATCCAATTTCAAAACACGATTCAAAACACACAAATCTAATATGTAAATTCAACAATTCAAATTAAACACACGTCTAATTTGTCAATTGAAAACACAATATAAAAACACACATACAGTTCATAAATTCAAAACATTATTCAAAAATACACAAATCCAATTTGTAAAATCAAAAAAATATTCAAAAATAAACAAATCCAATTCGTCAATTGAATTAAATAACTTGAAAATACACAAATCCAATTTGTCAATTTAAAAATGATTCATAAATACACAAATCCAATTCATAAATTAAAAACGACAAAAAATAGGCAAATCCAATTGATAAATGTAAACATTATTGAAAGATACACAAATCCAGTTCATGAATTCAAAACACAATTCATAAATAAACAAATCCAATTCATCAATTTAAAAACGATTCAAAAATACACAAATGCAATTCATAAATAAATTAATAATAAAAAAAACTATTCAAAAATAGACAAATCCAATTCATAAATTCAAAACACAATTCATAAATACACAAATCCAACAGTAACAACTGAGATCTATAGTAGGAAAAACAAATAGTATTGTACTCAATGGTTTCAGCATTTTTCAAAATATCCTCTTTTGAATTCAACAAAAAAAAAAAAAAAAATCTCAAACTGTTTTGTGAAAAGTGAAGGATGAGTAAATCATGACCGAATACCTACAATAGTCATTACCCAATTATTGTAATTACTAGAATAAGAACATGGTGGACGCATTACATAACTGGACTGTCAATTTTTGGTTTCCGTATACTTTGACTGCAGCACAGCTTTAGCACATGAAGATAGTGGGGTAAATAAAAATAAAAGCACCTGTCAGAAACTCTCCATGTCTTGCTTGTTGAAGCCAATGGGCCACTACAGGTACAACCAAGGGTGTCTGCCTCATCTTCCCTTGTGTGGTTTAATATCAGCCAGTGTTTAATCCACATTCATCAGCTCAGTGACGTCACACGTGTCCACCGCAGCTGCATAAACACAAACACGGAAACAACTAAGAGATGTCCACATGCTCCAAGATGTCATGCTATTAAAAAAACAAAAAACAAATAAGAGAGCCTGTTTATTTTTAGAGCACTGAAGGTGAGGAAATCAGAAAAGAGGATGAGATGAAGAAGGGCGATGGGCAACTGTAATGATTGATTGATAGATAAATGAATAGAATCATGTACAGATGGATGAGAAGGTGTATGGGATGGATTGATGGACAGACAGACAGATGGGTTTAATTTGTGACCAATGGATGGATGGATGGATGGATGGAACAGTGGATGAAGAGATGGATGGATTAAGTGAGTAACTGGAGGGTGGATGAATAGATAGAAGATGGATGGCTGGCATTAATGTGTGACTGGATGGGTGTATGTGTGACTTAATGTGTGACTTTAATGGATGGATGGATATATGGGTGATCAGATTAGATGTGTAAACTGATAGTCAATAATTGATGGATTAATGAAATGATAGAAAGAAGAGGTTTATGGATGAATAATTAGATGGATTGATAGATAAATAGATAGAATAATGAATAGATGGATGGAAAGGTGCATCAGATGGATGTATGGACAGACAGATGGATCAATTTAGAGTTCCACCGGTGGATGAATGGATGTATGGATGGATGGATGGATGGATGGATGAATAGAACTATGGATGAAAGAATGGATGGATTTAGTGGGTGGATGGATGTATGTATGTATGTATGTATGTATGTATGGATGGATTAAATTTGTGACTATAGGTGTATGTGTTCTTTAATCTGTGACTTGGATGGATGGTCGGATTAGATGGGTAAACTAATAGGATGGATGGATGGATAGATGGATGGATGGATGGATGGATGTACAGAGGGATAGATGGATTTACAGACAGACGGATGAATTTAGAGTGCCACTGGTGAATGAATGGATGTAATGGATGGATGGATGGATGTATGGATGGATGTATGCATGGATGGAATGATCGATGAATAGAAGAATGGATGGATGGATGGATGGATGGAATGATCGATGAATAGAAGTATGGATAAAAGGATGGATGGATTAAGTGGGTGGATGGACGGATGTATTTAATGTGTGACTGTAGGGGTGTATGCGTGCTTTAATCTGTGACTTGGATGGATGGATGGATGGATGGTCAGATTAAATGGGTAAACTAATAAGATGGATGGATGGATGTACAGAGGGATGGATGGATGGATGAATTTAAAGTGCCACTGGTGGATGAATAGATGTATGGATGGATGTTTGGATGGATGGAATAATGGATGGATTTAATGTGTGACTGTATGTGTGCTTTAATCTGTGACTTGGATGGTTGGATGGATGGTCAGATTAGATGGGTAAACTAATAGTCAATGATGTATGGATGGATGGATGAATGTACAGAGAGATGGATGGATGAATGGATTTAATTTGTGACTGGAAAGGTGTATGCGTGCCTTAATGGGTGACTTGGATGGATGGATGGATGGTCAGATTAGAAGGGTAAACTAATAGTCAATGATGTATGGATGGATGGATAAATAGTTAGGATGAATTGATAGATGAATGGATGGATGAATGAATAATTGGGCTGATTAATAGATTAATGGACGAAAGGAACAATGAATGTACAGAAGGACGAGTGAATGGATTGGATGGATGGATAGATTTAGTGTGTAAGTGGTGAATGGATGGATGGATGGATGGATGGATGGATGAATGGTTGGATTTAGTGTGTAAATGGTAAATGGATGGATTGATGTATAAAGTCATGAATGGATGCATTGTGATTGATGGATGGATGGACGGACAGACACATTGTTTGTATGTATGGATGGATGGGTGGGTGGATGGACTGATGGAGGAATGGACGGACAGACACATTTTTGTTTGTATGTATGCATGTATTGATGGAAGGATAGATGGGTGGATGGATGGATGGATGGACGGACGGACAGACACATTGTTTGTATGTACGAATGGATGGGTGGATGGATGGATTGTATGGATGGATGAATGGACGGACAGACACATTTTTGTTTGTATGTATGTATGTATGTATGGATGGATGGATGGATGGATGGACGGACGGACGAACAGACACATTGTTTGTATGTACGGATGGATGGGTGGATGGATGGATGGACGGACGAACGGAAAAATTGTTTGTATGTATGTATGTATGTATGTATTTATGTATGTATGTATGTATGGATGGATGGATGGATGGATGGATGGATGGATGGATGGATGGATGGATGGATGGATTTAATGTGTGACTGCATGGATGGATGTGTGTGTGCCTTAATGTGCGACTTGGATGGATGGTCAGATTACTTGGATGAACTAATGGTCAATGATGGAAGAATGGATAGTGAGGATGAATTGATAGATGAATGGATGGATGCATAAACTTATGGATGAATGGATAGATGGACTGAGAAATGAATGATGAATGTATAGAAGACAGATAAATAAAAGGAATTAGCGTGTAACTGGTAGATAGATGCATAAAACAATGGATGAATGAGTGGATTGATGGAGAGATAGATGGAATGATGGGTGAAAAGCAAATGACAGACAGAGAGATGAACAGAAGGACAAAGACAGATGAATGGATGAAATGACAGAACTAATGACAGACAGGCTATATCTCAAACTTTGCCACAGTTCGTTTGTATTGAAATTGAATGTGAATATCTGTGATGAACAAGACTTTATCGTTGATATTTTTAGCATGTAAAAGACCAGCTTCATAATCCAGCCAAGCATATTCACTGGTGAGAAGCAAAAAAACCATTAGCACCACAACACGAGCATGTGCAAATGATGCCAGAAATAATCTGTCTTTGCAGAACTACCCTTTTAAAAAAGCACTGCCATCTCATTTTATCAGTGTGAGCTTCAGTGACCCGGGACGAACAGATGACCAGACCACCTCAGGACATCAAAACCCTCATGTTTACCTCCCAGCGAGGGTCACTGTCACCCCCATCCCCCCAAAGCTCATTATATGACGGCTTCATCCTTCCTCTTTCACATCTGTCTTGTGAAATCCAACTCTTGCTAATCTCAAAATTACACAATCACACACACACACTCACACACACACTAACAGCATCCCCAACCAACACACACTGGAGCCAGCCAACCAGTCAAGACACAACAAACAAAAACAGACCATCTGTGCGTATTTGATCCAGCACCTGCACCCCTTACGTAAACACTCAGAAATAAGCAGCGTCTGTTTGACTTCAGCTAGGCATTTATAGGAAGCACCAGCCGCCACTTCCTGTTGAGAGAAATGCTTAGCGCGGCTAATAATAACCGTAGCACACAGGGCTAAAGCACAGAGTTTTTGTTTGGACTAGAGGGAGAGGTGGCCGGCTAACACACCCACGGCTAATAGAGGCTGTTTAGCGTCTATTCACTGGGTCTGCTTAAGAGCTCAGCCGCTCGCTGTGTACACTCTTAACATGAGGGCCAATGAAAGAGGACGCCTTGTGTTTCAGGCCTCCGCTGGCTGCGTGCATCTTATGTAAAGGATCATTTTCAGTCGCAATGTTAAGCAAAGAGGTCTTATGTCGGACCTGAAAGGGTTTATTTTTATGACGTAAATTGGAAAATGTCCAAGTAGATTGTAAGACTAATTTGCATGGCACATTGAGGGGGGAAATTATTAAATGAAATAAAATAAAATAAAAAGGTCTTTTGTTGAACCAAAAGGGTTTATTTTTGTGATGCAAATTGTAAAATGTTCATGTAAATTTTAAGAGTAATTCTGCATGGCTTTTTGAAAGGGAAAAACAAGACAAAATAAAATAAAATAAAATAAAATAAATTAAAAGCAAAACAAAACAAAACAAAATGAGATCTTTTGTTGACCTCAAAGGGTTCATTTTTGTAAATTTTTGTAAAACAAAATTTCATGGCTTGTTAAGGGGGAAAATAATAAAATAAAATGAAATAAAATAAAATAAAGATAAAATAAAAAATAAAATAATAAAATAAATAAACAAAACAAAACAAAACAAAACAAAACAAAACAAAAACTTTTAGTCAGTATGCAAGAGAAAAAAAGTATTTTATTGACCGGAAAGGACTATTTACATGGCTCTATGTGGGAAAAATAAATAAATAAATATATAAATACATACATTAATTAATTAATTAATTAATTAATTAATTAATTAATTAATTAATTAATTAATTAATTAATTAATTAATTAATTAAAATAAAAAAAATTATTCACAATGCAAAGCAAAGAGTAATTTTTATAGATCTGAAAGGGCATATTTTTAAATATAAATTGTAAAAAGTGAATGTAAATTGTAAGACTAATTTGCATGGTGTGTTGAGGGAAAAACGTTCTAATACAAAATAAAATAAAATTAAAATAAATAAATAAATAAAACAAAAAAATTAATAAAAGAATAAAATAAAAGAATAATTTTCAATTGCTATGCAAAGCAGAAAGGCCTTTTGTTGAACTGAAGGGATTCATTTTTGTGATGTAAATTGTAAAATGTTCATGTTAATTGTATGACTAATTTGCATGGCATTTTGAGAGGGTAAAATAAATAAAATTTAATTGAATAAAAACTTTCAGTCAGTTTGCAAAGCAAAGAGGACTTTTATTGACCTGAAAGGGTTCATTTTTGTAATGTAAATTGTAAAATGTTTATGTACATTGTTGGACTAATTACATGGCTCTTTGTGGGGAAAAAATAAATAAATATATTAAAAAGTTTAACAAATGTCAAAATTAATTTAATTTTAGATTAAAATACAGTATCATTCCTGGCCATATCTGTCTAGGAAACAACAACTTTTCATTTTTCGTCTTACTTAGCAAATGATGTAATAACAGTGGAGTCAACTTTTAAATAATTATTTCTATCAAAACTTTTTATTTTATTTTATTTATTTTGAGTGAGATGCTAATGGTCTAATCTGATTCTATGATTGATGCTAAGCTAAGCTA